GGGGGCAGAAAGTGAAGAAGTAAGCAGGCAACAGAACATGATTAGAACAGGAAAAGAGGTGAAAAGATAACGTTTTTTTATCATAGAGAAGAACATTTTCTGTCCCTGTCAAGATACGGACCCGGGACTTATTGAATGAGAGGCGAACACCATAACCTCTAGATCCTGAGAGCCCCCCCCCCCCTGTTTCTCAGTACTACTCCAGCAAACAAACACATTTAATTAAAGGCAGTGATGGTCATGATGCCAAAACAAGTCCCGATTATTTTTGTTTCCGAATAGAATGTTGTATTCTTCTCAATTACTGACGTTTGAAAACTTTCTATATGAGGCTGCAAAAATAAAAACTCAATTTTCTGTGTGCGGGTAGTATAAGGATGGCACTGGTAGGCCCTACTTCTTTTTCTTTCCCTCTGTTGTTTATGTGTGTGTCTGTCTTACCTATTTCCAGTTCTTTTTGGCCATTATTGTTTCGATGTGCTTCTCTTTACTAAAACAAATTCACAAAACAAATATTTTTTGTGTGAAACTGTTTTTTGAGCTTTAATTGTGATGAATAATACGCTGTCGCGCCAGCAAGGGGCTCAACTCCTCCACATGCATATTGCGCTATTCATACGTCAGTCTGTAAAAAAAGGTGAAGTACATTTGTATATGGGCAGAATACCCCTATTCACACTGTTAGGTTTTTCAAGAGGCAGGAATTCGAATTTAACATGTGTCGCTGCTAGGACTGCACCAGTCTGTGTGACGTATTTTCCCAATGTGTCCTGTGTCCATCTCACGTGTGGGCCAAATTTATCTGTGCATGCGCGGTTTTCTCTCGCAGAAAGTAGTCCTTTGTATCCATCTGTATCCAATATAGGGGGCTAACAAGGCAAGGGTAGAGCGAGAGCAACTTTCATGGAAAATCTGAGCATTTTCCTGGAGCATTCAAGCCAAGGAAGGAATGGGGAACCATGTTTGCCAGTGTCTATTTCATATCCGGCACTTTGTAATTATGATGGTAACTTTCCTGTAGAGTATTAAGCTCATACACCCATAATAAATGCCATCCAGGGCGGTACTGCTGACTTAAGTGTCTTTAGGCCATTCCCAAAGGGGGGACATTAGTATGTTCTTATGCACAGTTGAATTGTAAATTGTAAATGAACTGATTCATCAATGTCATGCTCATAATTGTGCCTGAACTGCAACCGGGGACTGCTGCTTTTTCTTTCCTAATCCTTACTATCGTCATTTTCCTCTATTTCTTTTGTATGTTTGTCACACTCTTGCGACCCACTACTTCCGGGGTGCCTTGATAGTCGAAGCAGACTTTGTGCTGTTGAAGCTACAGACTACAGAGGTGAGCAGAGTAAGCCCGATTCCCTGTCAGGACTTCTCTGTTGACATCTGCCCCTTGGCGCTCATATGACCTTATGCAGTTGCGAGCGCCGTAAAACCACTATTTAAAAAAAAACCTCACACACATAGAGGTATATTTTTTTTATCTTTCAGGCTCAATTGCCATCCTACTTTGAGAAGTGGAATGAACTGGCAAAGTCTTTACCAAGCCTGTTGCGAGAGAAAAAAGTGCGGGAAGCTGTTCATCAGGTGTGTAGCCTACTGCTGTTAATTGTGTTTGATGCTCCAGGCACCCAGAGAAAAACAAGATGTCATTACCTCTGTTAAGGCACAGTGTTTGCCAATTGTGGTTGCGCTGTTATTTTTGCCGGGGTTTGAATATTGTATTCTTGTGCTATAATTCTTTTCCTGTATTTAGAGCTACTGTTTTCTGAAGATGTTTCAAGTGGGTGATTGGTGTGTGCTCTGGTATGGTTTGCTCCTCCTTTCCTATCAAATATCTATCGTCCTTATCATCTCTCCTCCTTCTCTTTTATGCTTGTAACTCTCTTTTAACACATCTTATCTAATTCATCACAGATGTGACTTAATTGGGTTGAAAGGACAATAAAAGTTAAGAGCTACCACTTACTTCTTTTGCATCTGGATGATTGTATGTGGGATGTGAGATCCCGGACAAATATGCCAGTATTTGAACGTTGAATGTTAATTTGTTTTTTCTCTTACCTTATCTTGTTTTAAGCTTCCCCTGCTGGACCATAGTTTGCTCCAAGGTCACCAGCAGCTTCGCCTGGCTCACCTACAACTGATCATGATCACAGCTTACTATATTTGGCAAGATGGAGACAGTGGTGTGCCTAAGGTATTTGTTAAAGAAATTGTATTTATGTGTGTGTGTGTGTGTGTGTGTGTGTGTGTGTGTGTGTGTGTGTGTGTGTGTGTGCACATGTGTATGTGTGTGTGTGTGTTGTGTGTGTGTGTGTGTTTGTTGTTCTGTGTGTGTGCGTGTGTGTATGTGTGTGTGTGTGTGCGTGTGTGTGTGTGTGTGTGTGTGTGTGTGTGTGTGTGTGTGTGTGTGTGCAAATTTGCATGTGTATGTTTATACCCAAGATTCTGTGTGTATATTTGTGTGTTTGCACATTTGTGTGCATAATCAATATGTGTATTTATGCTCAAGACTGAGCTTGTGTGTGCATTTATGTGTGTTATTTTACTTATTATTGTGTAGTTTACTACCATAATGTTATACATTCTTGACATATTTCCTGAATAATCGTGAAACCAGATTTTTTTAATATGCTGTTGGCAGTAGTTTTGATCAATGAGTTTTGATTGTGACTTTTTCTGTACTGCCTGTAACACCTGCTTGAAGGTGTCTACTACCTCCAATGTTTTCCTCAAGCTCCTCTAAATTCTAATGTTCACTCTTCTCTGAGTGGGATATGCAAAAAGGAACTTTTTTCAGGCTACGTTACGAGTGCTGGAAATTTTAGATGTTTCCTGTACTGTGGTACTTGTAAGTCATCTTTTTTACGATTTATTATTTTTATGTTCTCACGATCCAGTACGTTTTTGAAAGACTAGCATTATTGTCTGTGGACTTAATGCAGCGAGAACCACTATGTTCACCTGTATGCTACTGTTTTACCTTGTCTATGTAATATTTCTCTTTTGCAAGCACAATGGACTACACATTAATTGTGGTTCACTTTTTTCTTCGTTCCTGGGATATTTTCTCTGTCATGAGTCTGGATGGAGGGTGGTTGGTGGGTACTCTGGTATGGATTGCTTCTTCTTTCCTTTCGAACATCTACATGTATTGTCGGAAATATCTCCTCCTTTTTTTGTGTTTGTTTCTTTATCACCTTTAACACCTTATATCTTCAGCTCTCATATGACTTAATTGGGTTGCAAGTGCTGTAATACTCTTACTCTCACTAAAACTAAAAGTAAGAGTCCTGATTCTCTTACGCCTTATTGATAAGTTACCAGATATGTAGCCTATATCTAGCAGTAATAAGGCATTCCTTTCAACAAGACAACGACAACAACAACAGCAAAAATATGGGGGGGAGAAAAAACAAGCTCTTTACATTTCACACTTGTTGTGCTGGTTCTGAATGAGACTGTCAAAGATGATGCTTTGTGGACAGAGGTTGAGATATTTTGTTGTTGTCTGTCATAAATGTATAAAACTCATTTTTTTTGTGTTTTAGAAATAGTTGGGTTTTCTTTCGATATTTTTTGTATCCCTACTTTTCATAATTTTTAAATGATATTGCTCACTACTGATTGTTCATGATTTAATGTTATTTTTGTGCATTCTATAAGTTGAGGTTACTATGTATAAACTTATAGCACAATAAATGCTTTTTTCTTGGTCATATCCCCAGGTTTTGCCCAAAAATGTTGCCATTCCATTATACAAAATTTCTGAAGAACTTGGAATAAAGCCGATTTTAGGACATGTTGACCTTGCTTTGGCAAACTGGGCTCTTATTGATGAAAGCAGGTATGGTTTTGATAAATGATTGTAAGACAGTTGTGAAATGTTTTTTTCTGAGTTGGGATATTACTTTTAGGGTTCCGTATGATCTCCTGATACTCATACTCATGCGGGGTTTAGGCCGGGGGGGGGGGGGGGGGGAGGGGGGGTAAGAGTGGCTCGTGGGCATTCTGATAAGGCATGATTTTTTAATTTTTTTAAAATTTTAGCTTTGTTCATCGCAAAATGTGGCCACTGTCATACCATTTCACCAGAAATTACTTTTCATCAACAATATTGTGTTCACTTCTTTAATTGTTTTTCTATTTGGCAAATTTAGGCTCTTTTGAAAGCAGTTGACCAATTACCCCTTGATTTTCAATACGTGTTAGTTAATGTATTTATATAAAGAACAAAATTAATTTTCTGAACTTTTCATTTCAGGCCTATTGACTTTGGGTGAGTGTATTTATATCAGTCCATATTACATACAACACAGTTCTCTCCGTTTAGCTTTTACATGAAAATCATATTTTAGATTGATGTTTAGTTTTGAAGACATGACTATTTTTGAAACTTTCTTCGCATATGCTTTGTGGTTTTTAAGATAATTATCAATAAATTCGGGATCAAAAGGGAGTTGGGACAATTGACATGTTTTATTATGAACTTGTTGTAATCTGTTTAGTAGCCTTTGACCGACAGAATTGTTGCATCAATGGTGCTGTAAAACTCAGATTGTGAAGTTACCATCTCTGTCTGATTTAAGTTTGAAGACAGGGTTGCGTTTATTCATGTTTTCACTAAAATCAAGTAAAAAGTTAATTATTATTTTACAAACAGAAATTTAGACTTGTTAAGTACGTTTTACATCTTTGTCCTGTGAGTATTGTTTTACTCAGAGGTCAGTTATTTGTCTTTTTAATACTCTAACTGTGATTTTTTAAAACTGATTTAGAATTCACGACCTGCCAAAGGAGGAGCTTTGCCAGAGCATTGGGAATCTTGATAGGATGCTAAGCCATGATGTCGACTGTTGTGAATGCAACCAACTTGTGTTTCACACGCTGATGTGACTGAATGCTGTGCAAGCGCCGTAAAGCTCTTACTAACTTGTTTGGATTGTACAGGACTTTGTAGTCTTTAACCGATTTTGAATCTGATCGCTGCAATAATGTATGATATTTACTCATGAATTGATTCCATTTTCCATGCAGAAATCTGAAATGCCTGTATGAGATTCCCGGGGGCTTTGGTGGACAGTGGTTCTTTATTGTGACTTTCATGGTGGAATTCACCTTTGCTGGATGCTTGAAGGTGAGCTGTAAACTTCTGATCAGTGATTGGGTTGGGGTGCTTTACTGGTAGGTTCAGCTTGTTTTCTTCCCCGCTTTTATTTCTCTTTATCTGTCTCATATTTTCCTCCCCCTAAATGTTCACGATAGTATTGTGTTGATAAGCTCCTCTTCGCACAATAGAAACAAGCTTTGACTGATTGTGAATCAGCCTATAGCAGGATCTCACTCTGTTACTTTGGCTCTCAGTTTGGGGATGTTCCTTGCCACGTGAGTGTTTTAAAGGTCCCAAATGTTTTCTTAGGTTTTAGAACAAATAGATTCTAAGGGCCTTCTGTTTTTTGAGAAACCAGTATCAGCTCAAAGTAATGAAAAAAAGAGTCAAAACCATATTTGTCTCTGAGAAAATTCTGATAGAATAGCATCTGATTTTGTGAAAAAATAGGTGCTTTATATATGTGAAGGATGCTGACAAAATGAGTTACTTTTCGAATTCCAGTCTCATGGACACAGATAGATTATATCAAAGTTATTGTTTAGGTTGATATAATTTTGCATATGGAATTATAAAAGGCATTAAACTTGAAGAAAAAGGGATCAGTTTAAAATTTACAAGTTTGATGTGTGGATTTTCGGCCTACGTATCCATTCGTGGATTGCGAGAAGTAACTCATTTTGTCAGCACACCACACATATACATGTACATATACTTCCTATGTACAATTTGATGGCTATGTCAAGCAAGATGATATACACTTTTCAAATTATGAACAAATTTTTTTGACTGTACTTTTTACCTTTTACTCCATCAAAATGTTAGTAACATCAGAAGAAAACATTTTCTCTTTCCTGTATTTTCTTGGAAGTTAGTAACTTGTTCATTAAATAGATGTTTAAATGGCCTTTTGCATCTTGACAGATGATTTCAAGTAGTAAGCAAGTAATAGCTTTGCCTGGGCGTTAGACATAGAGGCAGTAGATCCTTTAAAGTTTGCTTAATGTTAGAATATAGTGGCTGGTCTGTGTCTTCTCTTTTGCTTTCCCAAGCTAGACCACACGTGTCGCTGGCGTCTGATTCTTTAAACTGCCATGCAACTGACTTTAACATATGTGACCGTTTTTTCTACTTCGCAGGGCCTTATGCCTTTAGACAATCACATTCTGATTTCAGTAGTGGTCTAGACGTCTATATCTTTTTAATACTGACTGGTGTAGTTTTCAGTTTTCGTAGAGGTTGGTTCTAGTGTGGTTTGTTCCTTATTTCCTATCTTTCCTCCTTCATTTTTTAATGTTTGTTATTCAAACAATTTACTAACATATGGTGGCTGAAGCCTAATTTTCTTTCATGCTCTTTACCATATTAGCATCCAATCCTTCTCTGTGGTCTTCTCCAGCCCATTGTTCGAGTTGCTGACATGTTGCACTCTGTGAAAGATAAAGGCTCTGGGGATCAAGCTGAAATCTCAGATATCTCGAGGAAAATAACGGCCTGTTTGGAAGACATTTGTGAAACCACATGCTCTTTGAAGAAAGTTCTTACAAGGATGCATGGTATGTGTGCACATGGTGCGGGCTGTAATATAAATGAGAGAAAGACTGCACGTTCTGGTAGTAGACTTTGAAACCACCCGTGTCCTGAAAAAATGTGTCTGAAGGTTATTATTTTTTTTGGCTTTCGAAAGATGCTAATTGGTTTTGTATAAAATCTTATTCTGTTTTTACTAGTTCATGTCAGACCATGTTGAATTGACTTTGAAGGATGTGGAAATATTCCCTTATAGTGCTATGTGAGTATCAAGTACTTGTCTGTACCCGATTCTGCTCTTTTCAACGAGTTGCTTACATTTAAATGTAAGATCACTTGTAGAGCATTCTCAGTTTAATCATTATCTTTTTTTTTTTTTTCAACATTTGTCTCAATATGTGATTTTAATCTATTTGGGCTGTTGACACAGTTGTATTCCGATAACTCTCCCAATTTAAAAGGAGAGGCACATGTAGTTCATCCCTTTTCTAAAAAAGAGATGTTTAATCAAGTCACCCCTAACACAACACTTTGTCACGATTACTGTTCCCTATTCATTGATTTGAAATGACTTGATCTCTCTTTCACTCTCTCTGTCTCTCTCTCTCTCTTTGTCTCTCTGTCTTTCTCCCTGTGTCTCTCTCTCTCTCTCTGTCTGTGTCTCTCTGTCTCCCTTTACCTTCCTTTCCCTCACTCTCTTTCTCTCTCTCGGACATAAATAGATAGATACACAGAAAACACACAAACAGACAGGTAGACAAGACCGACAAACAAACACACAGACAGATAGGGGTTTAGACTCATTAAACAGATGTAACCAATCCCTTACTCTTGAAATACTTTTTCCACCTGTGTTCTCGAACTGCTTGGCCACTTAACCACTGGTCATTTAGCATCTCATCACATTATGTTGAACACGATTATGTATTTAAATTTATTTTGTCCTGGTTTGAAAATAATAAATCCTGAAAGTTTGAATGGTACGATTTCAAAACCCCTTTTTTTGTATAGATCTATAGATTTAATATGACTTATTTTTCAATATCATATGTATTGTTTACTCATTTCAGATCACCTTTCTGCCAAAACATTTTTCAATTCACTGAGGCCATTTTTGGCTGGGTAAGATGAACATGTTTGTTGAGATTAGATTATTTTCGAAGAATGTCCGAAAGTACATGCCTGCGTAATGTTTTGCTTGGTAACATGCTCCTGAAAAATGTCATTGTTGGTCAAAGAATTTCTGTTTTGCGTACAAAGCGCTTCATCTATATAATATATGTATTATATGTAGTATTGTAAAGTCCATTTAAACCTAATTTAATGATTTAAAACAACAGTACAGTGAACGAAATCGAATCCCAATTTTTTTTTGTCCCTGTTTAATCAAGCTATCTAAACTGAAAATATGGCTAAACTGAAGAAAATCCGAGGAGCCCACAGATTTTGGTTTAAGTAGATTCCTCTGTGTGTGTTTGTGGGTGTGGGTGTGGGTATGTGTGGGTTTGTGTGTGAGAGGCATTATGAAGAAATGAGGCTCTTCAAAATATTGAAATTGGAGAAACTGGCATTTTATGCTCGTTTGGCAAATTTTGTTGAAATGTTGTTTCTTGGCTCAAAACCTTTAATGTCTATTTAAAAAGCATATTTCTGTGTGAATTTTACTGAAAAATATTGATTAAAACACAACAAATGTGAATTTGCAGTGTCCAAGGACTCAAACACTGGCAGTCATCAAACTTGTGCGGCCTTTTTCTCTCTAATTTTACCTCTGAAACCAGGCAACCCCCACTTCCTTCAATCACAAATATCTTCACTTCTGTTCAAGATGATGAGGGTTTTTTTTTTTTCAATCTTTAAGACGATACCAAGTACATCTACTCAATATGCCCAAAAATTGATGAGTGCCTGATTCCATTGCATCCTGACACACACACGCACACACACATGCATGCTTGCAGCTGCGCCAGGGAACTGTAACTGCTGACGTCATTTTACTGGGGGGACAGCAACCAGGATACAGCTGCTTGTATTTTACTATATTTCTTTGTTACAGTTTTTCTGGGCATTATCGCCTACAGTATCGAATACAGCTAGACCAGATCTGTTACATTTTGTCTTGATTTCCCTGTAGAAAATAAGGATCATTTGGACAAAAGACTGTCTAAGCGAAATATGTTCACCCACAATGTTGTTGTGCGATTTTTGTTTTTTTAGTCTCGAATCACGAAAGTCTTTTGTTGCATCTTGATTAAACTGTTTGCAAAATGATACAAGTTCTTCGTACATCCTCTCTTAATAATTTGTTATTGTAGTCTCTGGACTTTATCGTCCACAGACATTCGTGGGATCTGTAGGCCTGTACATTTCAATAAAGAGAATGATAGTGTTTTTCAAACAAGTCACCATTCTGTATACTGTAAAGTGACTATGCAGTGTGTAGGCCTAGCAGCTTTGACGTCAGATGCACAACGCAGCGGATGACCTTGATACATCACATGACATAAGATTCCAAATTGACAATCAAAAATGAAGTTTGCTAAAGTTTAAATGTGGCATCAAATCAGGTTCCACGTGAGCCACTTTGCTTATTTTAATATACTGATTCTGAAAATGAAATACATTTTTAGCGGCGATAATTTTCTTATCGTTGGCGACCGCATCTATACCATAATCAATGCCATCAAGATAATGTATTCGATAAGCACATTGTTCCCCAGAAAAATATTTCCCTGTTTTTAATAATAGAGTCTCTGTTCCGTGGGGCTCTGATCCCTGCATGCACCCTCGCACGTTTACACTCACTCACGCACACACAAGTATTGCATGTAGATGTTAAGTTACTTAGCAACAATAATCTTTTGGTCCTTTAAAAAAACTTTTTGTGTTTTTTTATTTGTGTTTTGCTTGGCTGTCTAAAAATGATTTCTTTAATAATTATATTTAACCAATGAGAGTGAGGTCTTCAAAAATCTTTTCACAAAAAAACTGTGGTCTTTATTGTTGTGTGCAACACATTTCTCAGTCTTATCATGTTCACAAACAATTATAAAGTTTGCATTGTAATGAAAATCAGATATTGGTATCAGTCTTTTGAGCTTATATATTTCTTGATGAATATGATGAAAACAAAAAAAAAGAAAAGAAATGTTTTAAAAAATAAATTTAAAGAAAAATAAATAGAATAAAATAAACTTCATAAAGAAAGAGTCGGAAGTGTTCCTTCTTTAAGATAAAATATCAAGATAGTATTAAGTTTGATTGGAAGTGGGATTGTGGTATCAAAATCTTATGAGAGTTGTGTGACTAACCTTTCTATTTTGTTGCTTTTTTTACACTCATAGTGTTTTAATTATCAGAAAAGAAAATCTGTATAATAAAGTAGTTCAATGATCTTTCACTACCAGTTTGGACTTACGTTTGATTTTCATTGGTTGCTTGTCATAAATGTTCTTTTTCTTGTGTCTCAGGTGGGGTGGTGAGGGTAATGCTCTACCCGAGGGACTCATATATGAGGGGATTTCCGACACACCTATACAGGTACTCTTTGTCTGCTTAATGCTAGAGTCAAGTGTTTAAAAAGGAGCTTTTTCCTATCTGTGAAATTATAACTGGTCTTAGAGCTCAAAAGATAGAAATAGAATTGTTAACTGTGGTTAAGAAGAGATGGATGAAGAAAATGATTTTGATTTGCCATTGATAAGTTCTGTGTATGCTCTTTGCAGCTTGAATGGGAAGTAAAGGAGCTGATTTTAGTTTTATTATGATTTTGAGAGAATGGATAAGATGAGATGATATGGTATTGTCTCTGTGGGAAATTTTTCTTTGGCTGTACGTACAGGAAAGAGAAAAACATATGTGACTATACATAGAATTTAAATTATTCCTAACTTTATTAAAAGTTGAATATGAAGAGAAAAATAAGCTGACAGTAATACAACATATCACATCAGATGTACCTTTCAAACCACACGCAGAAATTGGATGGATGGAAACAGATCATTTCACTATATATGATTTCTGTATGTAACGAATGCTGCTTATTCTTTCAGAGAAAAGGTAAAAGGAGGTGGAGGATATGTAGAGGGAAGGAGGCACAAAGAGAATGAAGAAGGAGTAGGAAGAGTGAAGGGGAGAAGAAAAGAAAAAGAAAAGGAAGCCACTGGGTTTGATCTATACCAGAACTAAGAATTTATTTGAAATATGAGCTTTAGAATTTCTGACTTCCAGCTTCCTGGTGGCAGTGCAGCTCAGAGTTCGACCCTGCAGGTGATAGATGCACTTCTGGGAGTGGAGCACACAGAAGGTATGAATTGGTACTACTTGGGGGAGGGGGCGCAAGGAGGTGGTGCAAAGGGACAGATAAGGAAGGGGTAAAAGGTAAAAGGCGGTGTGGGGGAGGAGGAGGGTTGAGGGGGATCGTCAAAACTTGATTTGGCATAAGAAACAGGGGTGTTGTACGATTTTTTTTAAATTGAAAATTTCCGGGTAAGTGTTTTACTGCGCTTGCAACTCCATGAGGTCATATGAGCACTCGAGACACATCAAACATTTTCAGTTGGAAGGAAATTTTGAATTTTGTCTGAGTGGCGGCCGAAGCCTACTCTTATCGATTTTGGACCACCAAAGGATCTTTAACGTGCACAACTTGTACACTCCTGCCAAGAGTTTTTGCCCTTATTCGAGAAGGCTAGGTGTAGATCTTACCAACCATAAGATCAAGATGTGGCTCAAAGGCAGCAGTGAGAAGGCGCCAAGGAGTAGCAGTAGAAAGGCTGCAGAAAGAGTCACGAGCCCCATGGAGGGGGCAAAGGAGGTGAGGGGGGGGGGGGGGGAGACAGAAAGCGGAGTACGAAAGCAGACGACAGAACATTGTTAGAGAGCAGGAAAGGATGTGAAAGGAGAACATTTTAGAGAAGAAAATTTTCCTTCGCTATCCAGGTTCAAACCCAGGACCTATTGAACGAGAGGCAAACGCCTTACCCTCCTCTAGACCACGAGAACCACTGTAACATTTTTATTGCTTTCCATAATTAATACTTTTGAAGAATATTTTAACACCCTTCTTCCAGCTCTACATACTTAATAGTGTGTTTGTGTGCAACGTAAAATACTGATAGAAGGCAAATATGTCGTGCCCTTTCTGGTCTCGTATTTTAAGTCATTTTGTCTGGCATCGACTGTTTCCAGCATGTGCGTTTTTAGAAATGTCCATTTTTCCAGTCTTTTGATAAAAAGAAAGTTTCTGACAATTGCTAATTCTTGAGATGCGTGTTTGTTTGTGACTTGGAAACTGAGGGGCTTCTTGCTTGAGATAGAATGGTTAAAAAGTGATAATCCTTCACATGGCCGAGAAAAAGTACATTCAATGTTGGAACTTTGGAAAAAATTGCACAAAGTGTAACATTTGCAGAAAAATATGTGTAAGAGGAAAAGTTGATGCTTGTAACTTCATGAGCGTTTTTTGTCTATGGAAGAACCTTGATATGATTTTCGTAAAATACGATTTTTTTTTTTTTTGGAATTCTGCATCCATTGGTTGTAAGCAACTTGAAGCAAGTGATGTTAAAATACATAGGTTTATTTGCATCTACAGACGAACCGGTGTAAGACGGAATGGCAAGAGAGACAGAAAAAAATTCGTCTTAGACAGGGGAATTTTTTTTTGGGGGGGGGGGTTCAAAGATCCAGCCGGTGGGATCAAGGGTAGTTTGTCTGGTCGGCAAGCAGTCAACACTTGACATCTCTCTGATAATGACAAGCGTCAGTCTTATTTATCCAATTACCACCAGTGCTTGCATGTCATATGACCACTGTTCGACACATTAAAAACAGAAACGTTTGAAAATCTCCTTTGCTTCCACCCTTAGCCCCACCCATCGGTTTACTAAGTACAGTCAACCAATGCCACCCCTCACTGCCATGTAACAACAATGCAAGGAACTCTCTTTTCGGCTGGCTGTACGATCAGGGCGGCTGGCATTGGTCAAACTCATTTCACACCTCTGGCCTCTGGCTACCAATAAAAGTGTCTCTGTGCTTGAGCGCCACTCGAGCACTTTCACTGGCACTCGTGAGATTTCACACCCACACCTTACTGACCATCTTCATCGCTCACGGTTCACATAGACGGGGTAACATCTACCCTCAAATTGCACCCCTACTCCCTTTCCTCACCTGTTTAGAGCCGGCAGAACCAAACTTGCGAGTTTTATTTCAAATCAATGCTGAGCAGGTTAAGCATTTTCCATCTTAGACAGGTAAAACCATCAGAATGTAGCGAATTTTTCTTTCCGTTTCTGTGTTTGACAGGTTTCCGTTTTATACAGGTAATTAAAGAGGAATATATCAAGGGGGGAGCAGGGAGATTCTGTTAAGACCGGTTTCCATTTTACACAGGTTTCCGTTAAGGCAGGTTCGACTGTATTTGCAATTATTTTGCTGACTTTTTATAAATAACATGAAAATACACATTTTTATTTGCATTTAGTTTCATGTATTTATGATGAACGTTTATTTTCCATTGACAGTAATCTGAATCTACTGGGGTTCTGGAGACCCAGATGTTTTTCCCCAATCTCCGATTTCTCAGGAGGATCCTGAAGAAAACTCATATTGTTAGTCATAGAAGAGTTGACAGATTGACCACTGTGCAATGTTTAGCTGGGTGTGTTGTTGCGTCGATGCAACTCAAACTGTGGGTGATTGTTGATGCTCTGGTGTGGTTTGCTCCTTTTTTCCTATCAAATATTTGTCATCCTTACCTCCCCTCCTTTTTTAAAAAATGTTACCCGCTAGTAACACCTCTAATCATGGGCATTTGAATTATGACATTTGTGTTGCAAGTATCATAAAGCTCTTCCCGAAAGTGAAACAAGCAACTAAATTCGCACAGATGTTTTGCCTTTAGAGAAAGCTTTTTGCTTTTCTGTTGTCAGCCATGCAAAGTTCATCCATATTTTTTGTTCATCTTTTTAAAGTCAGAATGTACAAGGGGGGGAAAAAATTGCATTTGTTACAACTAATTGTCTTTTTGATCACTGTCCGTCATGAGCTACTGTTTAAATTGTTAAATTTTGTCTCCTTCTATTGTTTTTATCGATGAGGACTTTTGTCAGTCAGTGGGGACACAAATCTTCTCGTTCATCTCTAAATGGACACCCCAATCTCTAGTGCGAAGGTTGCTATGCTCTCGTAGAGTTTTGGGTCTCCCTGCATAGGGTTGGACCAATATTTCCTTTTATCTGCATGCCTTGAGCATTGGACAAGCTTGTAATAGCTCTTTTCCTGTTTGGCTGCTGGTTCCACACTGACACTGCTCTGAGTTGCCAATCCTGAACTTCATGTTAAGGTGGTGTTTTAGTCAGTTGTGCCCTGTTTTGAGTCTGAACAGAACAACCTCGAGGTAGTAGGGGTCAGCCTGGTTGTAGCAGGAGTGTTGTTCCTTCCATGTTGACACAAATAAGAACAGTCTTACAGGGAAAGATTAACAATAAAACAATAAGAACATGCAAAAGAAAGGCAGTAGTCTTCAATACTTTTTTTCCTGTATACAACAACTACATTTATTTCATCCTTGTAATTTTCTTTTGCCTCAATGGGTGTCAATTTCCAGGGTAGGACAAACAAACTGGTATATTATTTCTTTTCGCTCTTTTCCAGACAAAAAAGAATTCCTTAAATTCATGCAAGAGTTCATGATACCAGACCACAGACGGTTTATTCAAACTTTTGAGCAGATGCCCTTCAAGCTACGACAATTCAGTGAGTGAACATTGAGCATAGTTTTTTGGTTTGTTTTTTTGGTTTGTTTTTTGGGGGTCTCTTTTTTTTTCCATTAAAAAAATTTCTTAAGCTGTCCTAATTTTTTGGGGGGCAGCATTTTCAGATTTATGAAATTTATGAATAGTACTACAATATGTACCGTTTTGACATGTTTTAGCAGATGGTGAAAAGTGCCACTGGTAGGTCCTACTTCTGTTCATCATTTATCTCTGGATTTATATGTTTCCTCTCCCATCCTACTTCCTTCTCCACTAAATGACTGTTATAATGTGAAAATGCTTGTTTGCACTCAAGCTTTTAAAATCTTACTAGCTTCCCATTTAGATCAGTTTATTCAGTAACTTCAAAATCAACTCTATATTTCCATCAAGCCACTGGCAGCAACTCTAGCACATTCCTTTGTGACGACTTCATCATTAAATTACTTTTCGGTAATTGCCCCAAACAGGTCTCTGTTACCGGGAGTTCTTTTATTAGATGGCAAACTATCAAAATAGGAACACTTTTTTTGAGTTAATGATCAATTTAGTTACTTTAAATTATGTCACTTTTAGATTTAGTACCAAATAGGGGTCCAGCGTTGTCTTGATAAACAACTTGTCCCCATTACAGAAAATAAAGGCGTGTGGTTGGCATATGCTCTGCTGTGGTTTGCTCCTTTCTTTCCTATCAAACATCTATCGTTTTGAGTTGCAAATTATGATCTGTAAATTCTCATCTCTGAGTCAGACAGTCTGACTATGCATGCTATAGAGTGATAATGTTGGTTGATAATATGAAACTTGTTTGTGGGAGTTGGTGGGCTCTCTACTTTGGTTTGCTATTCTTACCTTATCAAGCATGGATCGTTCTTGTCTCTCTTCATTTTTTTGGTATCTTTTTCTCTAGTAACACCTTTGATCTTTGTGACACGACGTTGTGGAATCAGGCGCTCTTCAATTTTTGGACATATGGAGTCATTAGTATTTTTTTAAAGCTAGTACATTTGTCTTGCATTTGGCGAAAGAAATACCCCTCTATCTTGAATAGAAATTTAAATATATGTGAATAAAGGAGTTGGGGGATCGCCTTGTGATAGATGTAAAATTAACGAGAAAATGGCGTCAAAGTTTGGTGACTTCAAATGCTTGAGTGTTCTTGGAAACTGAATTTACATTTCATGTTCATGATCCATGTTTTTCAGGACATCTTGTAGAAATTTGTTTTTAAATGGACCTTAAATGCGCTGAGCTTAAAAAATGAAAATTGTAAAAAAATGTCCCCATCGGCCAGAAATATGCCATGAATTTTTCTGATATCATTATTTTGACGAGCACCTGATTTCACCCATGCTACCTCACAATTTGGGTTGCAAGTGCCTTAATAATAATAAAATTGAAACCTGTTTTCTCCATGTATGACTGTCTTTTTCTACATCAGTGGAACAGAATCCCCACCCTAAGCTCTTGGATGTCTACAACAGATGCATCTCAGCTCTTGTGAACTTACGGAAATATCACATACAGATCGTGACGAAGTAAGTTATTATTGGGCGGTTGACAAGCACTCTGGTGTGGTTTGCTCCTTCTTTCCTATCAAATATCTATCTTCCTTGTAAATCTCTCCTCTTTTTAATAAAAATAATAATAATAATAATAATAAATGACATTTATATAGCGCTCAACCCGGATTAAAGTACACAGGCTCTGAGCGCTTTACAATACAGTACTACGTACAATAGTAACATAAAATATTTTGTTCTGACAAAAAAGAATTTCTTTGTATGTTACTATTACGTAGCACTTCTAATGTGTGGCACTTATGTGACCTAACTGTGCTGCAAGTGCTGTAAAGCTCCAACGAAAACTTTAAGTTTTTTTTATTAGTTATGAAATGGTGTCTGTGGTATTAAGGGTTTTATTACTGAAAGGTGGGACCCCCCCCCCCCCCCCCCAAAGATTTCCTTATTCTTGAAAGTAGTACATCAGGGCTTAAGATGTTTGTATGGACTTCCCTTGTGTTAACATTATGGTAGTAGTAGACATCATCACAGTGTTTTTAATTTTTGCTTTTTCTTTTCACTGTAGGTGTTTTTTATGCCTCCTTCTTCTTCTTCTCGATCACATCACACTTGAAGTCTGGTATCTGTCATAAATTGGGCCGTCCTGCTCAGTTCATAGTTGCTGAGGTGGACCCCTTCGAGGCTTGGGGCCCGGCACTGCACCTGCCTGGTGTGTCCTCACAGGGCGAGCACCATATCTAAAGTTACCTACTTCAAGTGTCATATATTGCAGTATTACGTGGTATTGTGGTTCTCTAGAGTGCGCCTTGCGGCCCAATACCTCCAATTTCAGCACTCCAGCTCCAGGTCCAAGGACCTACCCTGGGAGCACGGGGATGAATTGTTACCGGATCCCACCCGTAGCCAGGACTTAATGCGATCCTTTTCCGCATGATGCTCCCGTCAGAGGACTCCTAGGGCATTTAATGACGTGGTAGCGCCACCTACCACTTCACCCCATCCTGGTAAGAGCATCGCCAGTTGGTCCGGGGCTGCTTATTCAACATATTCACAGCTAACCTCCACAACAGTGGCCGTTCCTTATCCGCCACCTGGGACCCGCCGGGTCGGGGATGGTTGCCCCAGCCCTTTTATGCCTCTATCGACACAGTTTAGATAGTTTAGGAGGCAAGCTTCCTACTCTACCTGTAACGGCCAACCAGGGCTGAGAGGGATACAAGATGCCAGCAGAACGACTGAGAAGCTCTATAAAAAATGTTCTTCTCACTCAAGAATCAGACTCGGGTCTCCTGAGTGTAACAGCAAATTGCCTAACTGCTACACCACAGACGTCGGCAGAAAATGTATCAATAGATTGCACAAATGTTAAGTTTCATGAAAAGAATTGTTTGGAAGTACATGATGATGATCATGATGACATCATCACAGGACATGAACTGTGAACCAATATAGCAGAACAACCATCATCCCCTTTTGTAATAGGACAGTGAGTGGGTGGTTGGTAGATGCCCTGATGTGGACTGCTCCTTCTTTCCTGTCAAACATCCGTCATCCATATATATATAT